GCAAATGAACTACAAGCACTGTCTCCTCCGATGTAGGGGATTGGGCTCTTTTCCCTCCCCGGTCCCCTCTCCCCAGTGTTTGCTGCTTTTCCTCCAGTTTCGATGAAAAAATGGACTGATTTTCAGTTTCTGGTACAAATTTCACGTAGGATTCTACGGGAAAATTAGAAATCAAGGCTCCAGACTGCTCAAATTTGTTATTTTGTGAGCAAAATTCAAGCGTTAAATCAGTACTATGCAGTACGTACTTATGGTTCTTTCGTCAGTATGGAATCGAAAACTAATGATCATTAGCTTTATATCCAGTAATGATTAGATATCAATATAAGTCTTTTGCGCTACTAATTGATATGCTGCTGATACTTTGCTGGAAGCTTTTTGCTCTTCAGCAGCAAGCTCAGTCCRCAACAAGCAAACTGCAACGACTGCTGCTGCAACGAAGACTGAATTGCTTACATCATAAGACACATGGATTGGGATCGCATCGACTGCATGGTTGTTAAAAGCTTGAGCTCATTCCGGGCAGCCTCTAGCTGCCTTTCRAGGGATGYACTCTTGGCTTTCTCCCATTCAAGCTCTTTCCTCTTATACTCATCCTTTCCCTCTTGGATTCCAATTGCAAGTTTCTTGTCCTGTAACTCACTGGTGAGCGCCGCAATYTTGTCATTAAGATCCGAAACGGTCTTCTTTGCCTCATTGAGTTCCTTTTCCTGTTCAATTCGTCGTTTCTTGTTGTCGCCGCTGGATTTCTCAGCAGGAGGGGAAGAACAAGCAACCACGACTTCTTCCTTTCTGCGTTTGTTATTTGCAGATTTGAGCTCCTCAAGGAGGGCTATCTTCAAGGCAGTTCCAGGAGACGATCCTTCATTACTACTAGCAGCAGCAGCAGGAGGCAGTGTCGGAAGAGTAACCGAAGGAGGCGCTACGACCGCTGGTGGCGCTTGAAGAACAGGAGGAGGCACCAACGCTGCTTTCTTGTTCTTGTTGAAGCCTGAATGAAGAGTATTTTGTACTCTTTGCTGAGTTGTTGATGTCACATGATCATACACTTGAGACGACTTCGCACTACAGTGGCGAAGATGATTCATCTTGAGCTTTTCAGGAACATTCACATCAGATGCTAACACAGTACAGCATCGATGCCTATTATCATGAGGAGTGAACTTGTCAGCATCCTTGTATCCAGCTTCTTTTGCAACTTCCTTCACCCACTTCCTTATAGTATCTTGTCCAACTGGCATCGCCGCCTTGAAGTAATAAGGATTGTCCTTGGATCTATTTTCCCTCACATAGCAAAGGAACCTTTGCTGATCCGGATGGCAACGCGTCCTGTAAAAGWTGATGAGCTTTACAATGCAATACGGATTGGTYTTGTCCTCCACTACCATTGGGAACATCTYGCTTACKGTTGGATTGCTCAAGCTGAGCTGGTTCCCCTTGTCGAAGCCTCCCCCTGGAGCAATGATTACATACTTACTGTTCTCCATTTTTCCGTGGGGGAAGCTCCCAAGCTTAATGAATCGCCATTCAAGGAAGACAATTTCATCCCTCCCCCTGAGCCCAAACTGTCGACCCAGCTCCATCGTGATGATTTTCAGCAAGTCTTGCATGTCGTCGTACGGCTTGTACACTCCACGGTGAAGCAAGCTCATGAACTTTGCATCCCCATACTCATCAAAGGCAGCCTTTGTTCTCTTGGTCCCTAGTGTCGGATCAACAGCACGCTTCCTGTTGAAATCAAGCTTTACAGCGCTAAGGAAGAGCCCCTTGCCTTTGAAGTCGGCTTCATTGAACTGGATCCCCTTCTCGTGGAAGGCTGAGAATAGGACTCGAACATACACTGAATGAGTGTTTGTATCCAGAGGATCACCGTTCTTTGCATTCTTAATGTTAAGCGTCCAGATCATAAGGGCTTGATTCATCAGAGTCTTCTTGAGGGCGTCCTTTTTACCAGCAACGTTCTTGTAGAATAAATAGTCTTCAGTTAGTCCATCATTCATAGGGACCTTCTTGGTGAACATCTCATACATCACTTTGTCTCCAGGGTTGTTTGTGGCTGGATTCRTTGCTTCTAAGATAGTYGTYAMGAATCTAGCAAGGCATCCTTTCCTCTTYGCTGCATACCCCTTGGTGTTTGATTCAGCTGTTGCATACTCATCACTCCCCAAAGTGTTGAAGGCGTTTGGATTATTAATAAGCTTCTTTGCATATTCAAGCTTTGATTCTTTGCTGTGAGAATCGTCGCATTTGGCGACAGGAACAGTAGTAGGTTGTTCCTCACCAGCGACAGCGGCAGCTGCTGCTGGCGTCTGTGCTAGTGTTGGTGGGATTGTCTTCTTTGTTGTTGCTGGTTTCTTTTTTGCTGGTGCCTTCTTCTTCTTGTTCTTTTCGGCGGTTGCTGGTACAACGCYGACGCGTTTCTTCTGCTTCTTGTTCAATGTGCTGTACAGATTTCGGATTGGTGGTCTTCGCGTTTGAGCTGCTGGTGTTGCTGTCTTGTTCTTGCTGGTGGYGTCTGCTTGATCAAGAGATACTCTTCTTGGTTTAGTTATTACAGGAGCTTCTTCTTGCGCCAATTGGATTGGYGCTCCTGTTTGGCATTGCGCCACTGTTGCCGATCGTTTCCTACTAGTACTATGAGGACTGTTTTCCTCCTCTTCCCTCCAACTTACCTTAGCACCAATCGACTTAAAGCTTGGATCCTCCAGCTGAGAGGAGAACAGCTTGTTTTTCTTCTGTGCGCTGAACTGCTGTGAAAGTTCTCTCAACATCTCCCTGCTTTCTGGCCACGCGCCGCAGTCGACGCTGTCATYGTCCTTCTTCTTCTTCTTCTTAGTAGCYGTAGGCTTCTWTGCTGGAGGTGTGGTTGATTTGTTGCTTCTGGTCCTCATGGTTGTTGTTGCTTGTTTTGTGGTGTTTTGCTTGTTTTGCTTGCTWTTTTGCTTGCTTCCCCCTGCAAATCAATATTTCTACGATGTTTTCTACGTGARTTKRTACTGGAATAGCAATCAAGATGAGTTTTTTTCATCGAAAACTGTCACGATTTTAGTGAGTACATGTACTTTGTAGTACAAATAGTACTATTCAGTACTCAAWATCGTGAGAAACCAAGACTGTATCTGTTGGGGTTGGTCGCGTGGTTACAAGCGCACGGTGCGCTTTTTGTAACCAGATTTGTAACCAGACTGAAAAAAAATGTAACCACACTACTAGTGTTATCGTGGTGAAAATATGGGCTCTCCTTRAGGAAGAGTCTGGTTACAATTCTGGTTACAAAAACTCAATCCGCGCGCTTGTAACCAGCTTGAGGTGCGTGTACTTAGGCAAAAAATAACTAGTGTTTGTTAGTGTTAGTTTTTTGTAACCGCGCAGTAACCAAGCGCGCGTGGTTACATGTAATTTCGATGCTACTCAACGGTTACTGTAAATAACGAGCGCTACCGGTAATGTTCGTAGGAAACCTTTACCGTTCCCGTTCCCGCTCCGGCAGTCGGGCAGCTTTCTTGAAAATGTAAAAGAAGGCGGCCGGAGCCATCAAGAGCAAGCGCGATTCCCATTCCCCAGTCACGAATCATCATCAATCACGGATCGATTGGTGTTGCACTGTGAACATACCATACATACTAGTACTTCTACTTGATACTGTAACACAGCATATCAATGTGACTATGCTATCATTACATTGCACCGATGCTTCCTTTCGGCGACACGTGGTTCAACGCATAGTATTGTACTTCTAACCAATGAGTGGAATAGCTTGTTACCAAAATTTATCCTGCTCGTTATGTAGGCTATTTTCGCTCTACAATACCCGCATGGATCGAAAACGTGCCACGGCAATTATACTTCGTTCTTCTTCATTTCCTACGGTGTGGTTGGTACGAGTTTGACAACGGTTCTGTCTGGAAGCTGTACGGTAGGGGGGAAAGAAATTTGATACGAGACCTTTCGACTTCTCAAACGAAACGAAGGCTGTATTTCGGACTAATACCACATGCCATACGGATACTTTATCACAATATAGAACGAAAACAAAAACTCCAAAGAATCGAATCGAGACGCAGCACAAGCCATACGAGTAAGGTACCCACCCAACGACAAAGCGATTGTGATGAAGGTCCACCACGGAAGAGCCGATCGATCCGCGGCTTCAGCGAGAACGATCGGCCTTGGCGCCATCTTTCTCGTTCTCCTAGGTGCGGTTCACCAAACCAGGCTCGGTGCCTCCGCGACCCCGCTTTGCGGAAACGGGGATGCCGATGGATCGCCGGGAGAATGCCGGGCGGTTCCGCTCCGGCCCTCCGATATCCCTCCCCCCAGCGTCTTCGACTCCTTTGGGGCCAACCGCAGCGTCACCGTACCACCGATCGACGAGAGCGAGGACAACGGCGAAAGTGGCGGAACCACCCTCTCGGTTCTTCCGGGATCGATCAAGCAGCAGGGCAAGCACCTCGCCAGCAACGAGACGCCCTCCTCGGACCTCGTCGTCCTCCCCGGCCTCCTCCCACGACCGGTCGTTGCCGAGATGCTCGCCCTGCTGAGAGGCCACGAGGACGCCGATTTCGCCGTCGGAAAAACCACCATCGTTCTCGACGCGGACCCCGACTCGGTCGACGGCATGACCTCCCAGGAATTTTTTCTGGACAACGACTCGCTGCGAAGCGGGGGATCCAGCAAGGGGAACCCCAACGAGAACATGGAGGAGCGGAGGGATCTCCGGGCCAAGCTCAGGGCCCTCACGGATCGATACGCCTACGACACGCTGGTCCCCTTTCTCGAGCAGTGGTACGGGAAGGACACCTGCGGCCGGCCCGGCCGGAGGTGCACCCCTTGCTACTCGCTGATCCGCCGCTACCGGGCCGGAGAGCGGCAGTCGCACGCCCCACACCACGACGCGCACTCCTTCGTGACGGTGGTGGTCAGCCTCACCGACTACGGCCGGGAGTACAACGGGGGCCTTTACGTCTCGACCAAGAACTCCGAGCGAAACTACGTAAAGCTCAACCGGGGCGACGCGGTGGCCCACCAGGGGTGTGAGTAGCGCAGCCGTCGGGCGTTCTTCTGTTTCTATTTTCTCTGTTGGTTTTTCCCACATTTTCCATTCTTTCATTCCCCCGCTAATCTTTTCGTTTCCTTATTCATCCACAGACCTGCACCACGGCGTCAAGGTCCTCGACCAACGGGACGACGGGGGTCCCTCGGAGCGGTGGAGCTGGATCATGTGGTTCCGCGATTCAGACACCTGCGAGGAACACAATTCCGAGTGGCATCGTTCCTGCGCCGAGAAGGGCAACCCGACCTGCATGTACCTCCGGGCCTCGACGGAGCCCACCGAAGAAGGCGTCGTGCACTGGAACACGATGGCCTCCAAGGCCGGCCACTCCCAGGCCTCGGTGAAGCTCGCCTACGCCAACCTCAAGATGCTTCCGTCGAGACTCATCGAGTTCAACCAGGACGAGGCAGAGCGCCTCTTCGAGGAGGCGATCGCGTCGTCGAACGAACCCGACGGGCACTATGGAAAGGCCATGCTGTACCTGACCGACACGAAGAAATCCATCCTGGAACAGCCTACCAACGAGGCCAAGGCGCAGGCGGCTTGGGAGGCTCTGGGGTCCGAGACCGTGAAAAGGGCCATCTGGCACCTGGAGGAGGCCGCCAAGGGGGGACACGTCTTTGCCATGTTCAATCTCGGGATCGCCAGCACGTACGGATACGGGAGCACCGACGGAACCCGGGATTTCGAGCTGGCCATAGAGTGGTTCGAGGCCAGCGGCATGCCCGAGGGCTTCTTTGCCAAGTCCATGTACCTTGGGATGATCGGAAAGACCCAGGAAGCGGAGGAATTCCAGAAGCGGGCCGCCACCCTCGGCTACGGCCAGCCCTGGAGAAAAGTCGCCAGGGAGCGGACCGGGAGCGGGGGATCCGGTGGAGTCACGTTGAACCTTCCGTGGCCGCCCCTGCCAACAGGGGAAACGCCGCCGGAATGGTAAACCTGGAGCGATAGGGCCGTCCACGAAACTCACGATGGATTGCTACGAACCGGGTTGCGTCTTCTAGATAACCACATTTGTTGAGTATTCAAACAAACACCAAGAGCAACTTGTATCTAACCAGGAACCGACCTAATACTGCTAGTGCACAACACAAAAACAAGAATCCTAATCAAAGTCTAGGGAAGCAAATAATTTTTGATCACAAAAATTTCGTTAAATACCGTACTGTTTTACTTTGTGGGATGCCTAAAGGAGTGTTCCCAAACAGCACAGCAAACAATACAACACTGAGTGCCATACTTGTATCATAGCATGCTACGTACCGCTAGCTGATCGTTTCGTTCAAGTTTTCATCAAAAACCTAAAAAATCTACGGAATTTATTTGAAATGTTTCCCAAAACCCCCAGCAAATTGGTGTCAAACATTTCAAATTGTGGTTCGAGCCATCAATTTCATGATAGGATCTTGTTCCTCGTGCTTGCCGATGGTACAATGACAGAGTGACGAACAAGGTTGTCATCGTGTTTCATTCTAAACAGCCCTGCAAGCGATTGATAGCCTCGCAGCACACGTTGAACAGAAGCAAAGTCGAACGTGCGGTGCCACAATAGCGCTCGGGGAAGTTGTTTACCGGCTGTAACATGGCTCTACCAAGAAACTCTGCGGTGAGGCATCGTTGCCATCGCCTCAATCGGTGCCACTCAGTTTGGGTGCCATCCCTGGTTCTTTTCGCGATATTTTATCCCGATGCCGTGAAGGCGTTTACAACCGAAACGGGCACCTACCTTTCGTGGAAAGATGAGATTCGTTCGATGCATGGGGCGGCGGCGATGATTCACCCCGATCGATTGCAACAAAAATTACTCTGCACCACATCCTTGAATGCATCCCCACCAGAGGCAAGCGAGGAAAAGATAAACCTAATGGAAGAGGCCTCCGGAAAGGAGTTTCTGGAGTACATGTTTCGCCACAGAGGATGCCAGGGTGAACCTGACGCCGTTACAATACTAGTCGATGAATCCACCGGCTACAGAGGCCTGTACGTCTCCTGCAAAGAAGGCATCCAAAAAGGAGACTACATTTTTGCCGTTCCCTTTTCTTCGGCCTGGATTGTGGAGAGCGAAAAAGACGGCGATGAATGTGGCGGTGGCAGAGAGGGGGAACTGTCGGACTCCGAGCGCGGGCTCCGCTTTTGGAACTGGCGGAACGAGCGTGGGCGAGACAAATCGAACGAGGACGACGACGACGACTGGAAACCCTACCTTTGTCTCCTTCCGAGCAACGAAAGCAACGACGCGTCGCTGTTCGATCCGACGCCCGACTTTTGGCCCGACGATGAGATCCGAGCACTCGAATTGCCCCTAGCAGTGGAACAGGCTCTCGCAAAAAAGAAGATGGTCCGGGACCAGGCGGCGGCAATTGCCGCGGATCACAGCTGCAACAAAAGCATCGTATCCGAAGACGAGTTGCGGTTTGCTACTTGGTTGATTAATTCGCGAGCCGTCACTGTGATTCTCCAGAACGAGGACGAAAAGGAGGAAGAGGATCACGAAGACACGGACGAGGACGACTATCTCGATGTCGACAACGAAAACTTCACAGCTACATGCGTCTTGGTTCCCCTTTTAGATATGATCAACCATTCGTCGGAAGTACCGAATGCCTATTTCTCTGTGCTTGGAGACGATGGAGATGACGATGAAGATGAAGGAGTACAGGAACAAGACGACGACGACGGGGAGGAGCTATTTTACGCCGTGATTGCCGATCGGGACATCCGCGAGGGCGAAGAAATCTTGATTTCCTACGGTAGCGAACAAGACTCGTCGCTCGACCTTTTGCTCCAGTACGGGTTTGTTCCCTCCGAGAACCCCTTCGACGTGGACTTCTGGGATTCTCTTTCTTCCGAGTCCGACAACGACACGGACGGATACGGATACGGATGTGGAGGCTCCCTCGATGGTTCCTGCTGGAGCACGACCCTCGAGGAGGACGTGGAACGTCGAAACCAGCTGTCGCTGGCGACAACAGAAACCGAAACCGATGGGTTGACGGTGGGCGATCAGCGTAGGTCAATAGAGATCGAGCGCATCATACTGGACTTTCGGATCCGCATGAAACGCGCCTTTGCAGATTGGAAGGCCTGATCAAATGCATTTCTCGTAGATGCAAATGGCATACCTCTGTTCCATAGCTTGGCAGGAATCAAACGTTTTTTGTTGTTGCGAATACCCTGTCTCCGTTCCGGAGCTTGGAAATGAGAACGTCAATGAAGGTAACCCTTTCGCAAAGATTACTGCTCTTGTCCTTTGAAAATAGAGAACATCACTGAAGGCGACTCTTTCGCAAAGATTACTGCTCTTGTCCTTTGAAACTGTTGGAGAAAGAACCTCCCATTTCTCTCCCAATCAAGGATACAACGTAGAGCTGTCTTTGCCATTGAGGGGATGTCGCAAAAGTGCATGTAATGAGGTGCTAGTGTGAAATTACAAGTGCAAGGAGCATGCATGGAGCAGGGCATCAAAGATACAATGTTTGTAACGATAGCAAGACTTTCCGAAACGTCATTGATGCAGTTCACGGGAAAAGTTCCAAGATGAGAGAAAAATGACTAAGGAGTGTGGTATGGTAGCGGATTGGTTCGAATTATGTTCTTTACGTCGAACACCATTTTGAAATGATGTCATGTGCTTTCACTAGCCGTTTCGTAGTCTGCCATGGACAGAATAATCAAGATGCATATTCCAATGGGTATGTCTGAGAAAAGCATTTTGTTACGTTTGAGAGGTCGGAGGAGTAGGTGCAATCGTGTTGTTGTGAATTGTCGCTTGATTAGGAAATGTGTCGCGTTTGGATTTCTTTCTTCTCACAAATCCAAGCAAGGCAGAAATTGTTGCTGCGCCTTCCGCTATCTTGGTTCTCTTGAACGTGTTTAGGATGAAACCATATCCTTTTGGTTTTAGTAACTCTGGGTTCCGTGTTGTACGAAGGAAGCATTTACGTTTAACGTGTTTCGTTCTTCTGCTACGATGTAGCCCGATCCCTTGGTGTCCACGGATTCCTGTATCCCTTTCGATCATCACCGACGTCTTTCCAGAAGCTGGGGATCAAATAGAGCGTCCAAGAGTTCTGAATTGCCAATCGAAAAATTCCTGTCGGCCCTCACGTAGATCGGTCGTTCCCGATCATTGATCCAGCAGTGTTTTATGCAAGACGAAACGACAGCGTTGCTTTCGTCCACGGAACGCTTGGACTCAAAGCATTTCTCGCCCACGGAATGACCCGTCAATAACAGATGGCCGTGGCCGGGATACCAACCGTAGGTCGATGCTATGAATTCCCTCGCAAACGATTCGGAAATCGACAGGCAGCCTCGCAGGCAAATATCGACGTAAGATTGCAGGATCGGTTTTTGGGGGCAGGCCATGCCCGAATAGCAATCCTGTGGGACGTAGATCCAGACTTTGCAAACAACATCATCGTTTTGCGTCGGTGATCGAATTGTGTTGTCGTTGCCGTTGGTGGAAGTGTCGTTCTTTCGCCGTAAAAACGTGTGTTTATAGTACCGGTCTTCGATGGCTTGATCACAGCGTTCGCTCTCGGCGATGTTCGTCAGGAGCAGATCGTCCACTCGCTCTATTGAGCTCAAATCCACACTATGTCGGTAGTAGCCCCTTTCTCTACGGTCTAGAGCCTCGAGGACTTCATCCTCATCGTTTTTGCTGCCGCCGGTCTCGTTCTGTTTGGAAGACGGCAGGGGGACTAAAACGCCGACGCAGGAAACTCTCGGAGAAGAAGAATTGGTATTGGTGTTGCTCTTCTGCACCCCGAGGTAGGTGTTCGGACCCTGTAGGTTCCATAAGCGCATCCAGTTGTTCAGCCGAACGGGAATTCCGCCCGTATTGTGTTTGTTGCGATCTCCGGCTTCGCCGACAACGCCGAGTGCGGAAGCTGTCGCTGCCCTAGATTTGGCGCAAATCAGCGAACCATATCCAAAGATGTAGTGTTGCTGGGGCATTATATGCTGGTTTCTATTATCGTTTGTTTCCTTGCTCCTTACGATACCTTTCTATTCAATCTTTTTCATTCTAGTACTCGCCTATCAATTGCTATCGAATGCGAGATTTTTGTAGAACCGCGAAAAGAAGAATGCAAAACTTTATGAAAAACCTTCCAATTTTTTTACCTTCTTCATGCGCACTCCTCTTCGGTGCCAAATAATATAACTACCGCACGGTACGTAGCGGTACGTTTGAACTTCAAAGAGAGAGATTCTTCACTACCTACTCGTGACTGGTCTAAAACACGACAGATTGCACGAGTGACGTGTTTAGTATCTACAGAGCTGCTCGTACTAATTGACGTTCGTATGTCATACTATAGTTCGAAGTAAAATGCGCTAACCGTAGAATCCTACCACGCCCTACAGGGCAAAAGGGCATTCTACTTTAACACTAAAAATTATGTCTTTTGCGGTGCGCAGGCAGGGGAAGTCGAAAGTTTGTTATTTGTTACATCGCACGCCACCACCTCCAATGAGTTATATACGCTGGCATCTCATTCCCGTAACTTTATATTTTTACAGAAAAAAAACGCGTTCAACCTAGTACATGCTCTACATTAAAAATTTGTTGATACCATGTTTTTACATTTTTCTCCCCCTCAAACTCCCTAGCTCCAGAAGGACAATTCCAGTCTTCGACTTCCATGATTATTACTAGTAAAATCATGGTTAATTTTGAAGCCAAGTATTTTAGTACTGGTCCTACATCGATCAGATAGTTTTCGGATTTTGGATGGCTTTCATGATTGAAAGGCCATGATTCATGATTGAATCACCTCAAACCATTTTGTTTTGTTTTGAGGGGAATCAATTTGGTCATTCAGTCATTTTAACAAACTAGCTTAGTAGAACCTGGTACTAGTACATGGTGGTGTGCAAGCAAAAGTTCAAATTAAAACTTTTTTCTCTCTGGGCAAGATGGTATGCAATTGTTATGAAACTCATCATAAGTGTCAGTAAAGACTCACAAAGTTGTTTATCCTCCTCCTCTTCTGATGGATTCTGGTAAATCAGGCCACCAAGGAGGCAGAGTTGCTTGTGCTCCTCCTCTTCTGGGTTGCTCTCCTTAAGCTACCTACCAAGTGCTCTTGATCCCAAAAAATAAGAGGAAAAAGATATAAATGCACCAGCAGTTTAAAAAAGAATAGTAAGTCTTCTGGTGGCGGTACAACTTCTTCTTGCAGTATTGCAGAAATGATGGTTTTATTGCAAAAACAAAGTGCCTTTTTGTGGTCATTCCCAAAATAATTTACTTTAGTAATTACTTGAAAAACAAGAGGAAGAAGATACAAATGCAGTTACAAAAAGCAAGAAGTCATCTTGCATCTGTGGTACAACTTCTTGTAATAGTAGTAATGCAGTTACAAAAAGCAAGAAGTCATCTTGCATCTGTGGTACAACTTCTTGTAATAGTACTAGTAATATGGCAGAAATGAGGACAGTGTGCCTAGTATTGCAAAATCAAAATTCCACCAAAACAGAATTTACTCCTATCACTTGGTTGATGATAGCAATGATTTCTGCAAGAAATTGATGGAATCCTCTGATGTCCAGAAGTTTAAAATATGACAGAGTTGCTATTGGGTGTGCAATGTTGATAGTACAAGGTACAAAGACAGGTTATAATTACAACAAAATGGACGAGTTTTTACAAACTGGAGCTACTATCACTCTCATCAAGTTGACCTTTCTTATGCAACACTTCCCTTTCATACACCCACTGGAAGAACTCCATTACAATAACAAGAACAAGCAGATCAGGAAGTTGCAAATTGATTGGCCTGCTATTGGTTTAGAAGAAACAGCACTGTAACTACCAGAAGTGAGCAAAAAAGGGCTCAAAAATCAGTCAGCTTCATGTGTAGACAGGTTGAAGTTACAAGCCCAAATGAGGGTATTGTTCCCTCTGTAGAGCCATGAAAAATTTGTACCAACTCTGGACCTGTCTCCACCTCATTAGGGTTTAGGAGATTGTAAAACCCAGGCCAACAATGCCATAGTAGCTTGTGCTAGATTTTAAAGGTAGTACTACTAGAAGGACACAACAAGCAACAAATTTTCACAATTGAAGATACTGTCTGCTGTTAGTCAGTAAAGAATCAGAATCAGTTCAAACATGAGAAGGAGTTGATTGTACTAGCATTGAGAAGTGATGATGCACAGGAAGGGTTTCCTCATTCCTCCACAATCATGCTAAGGTGTTTGGTCTTGTCTTGATAGCAATTCTGGTATTTATATTCCATTTGTCACAAGCCCAAGAATGAGCAACAACATATTTGCTTTTGTAAGAAAATGAGTTCATTTTGGAGACAGCAACAGAAGCCAAGCTATTTAGTACTAGTAGGAGTACACTGATTACACACTCTAGCACTAGCTAGTGGTACTAGTAGCACAAAATCAGGGCTCCTGCTGTGATATAGAAAATCTATCATGGTCTTCATATTACTAAGAATGTTACTCTCATTTTGTACAAATAGAAGGTATGTTTGTACTATTTTCTTTTCCTGCTGCTTGCATGATACTAGTGCTAGGTAGTAGAGCAGTGCATTCCTGATACAAATATTAACCACTAGTAGCCTTGTAAGTGATGAGTTTGCACTGAAGGAATGGAGAGTGTACAAATCAAAACACTATGGGAGGAAAAGTTTGTTGCAACTCTCTGCAACAAAATGTTGAAAAAGAGGACTATTTGCAGCCAAAGCGGGTGCCTCATTTTTGTAACTGGTGTTTTGGGATTTGTTTCTTTGACCATCATGTGAACACCAAAAAGACCATTAACACCATTGTTTATGGAAAGATAACTTCAAATTGCATTCAAAATGATGTAGCAGAATCTATGAAGGTTGGAAGAGGAACTATTCAGCAAAGGAAATGTGTCATAGTACTAACTCATCTTTGAATGAATTGAGGGACAACAAGAAAGAATGATTGCAGAAGTTGAATTATTGTTGGCGTTTAGTTCTTCTTGTTATTGTCCACCATTCCAAGATTTAAGAGAACCCATTCCTTCAGCCAGACAAGTTTCTTGGGGTGCAGGAGAGAAAAAAATGTCCAACTTTCTATGTTCACCATGCTGGGAGGCCTGCCTTTGAGAGACAATATGACCATGGTGATCTTCATTCTTACTTTATTCCAATAGATCAATGTATGAGCACAAAGAGAATTCAATTAAGAACAAGGAATATAGTAGTAAAACCAGTGGGGAATACTAGCAGGAACCACCAGAATGAAGATCCTCCAAATCTGGGATCCAATGCTGCCAGGAAAGTTGGCCCATGAAAATATGGTACCAGCTGATATCATTGGTTGAACAGGTAGTGTTTTAGAAGATGGAGCCTCTTGGAGTTGTCTCTGGAGTAACACAGCAGTCAGTGCCAAACCTTTCTGCAACACAGCTGGCCACCAACAACAAGTCTTTGTGGCAATACTCAAAGATTAGAGAGTAGCTATTCCAACACAAGGAAAGTCAACTGACATGAGAATATCATAGAGGATATTAATACTATCTCCCTGGTGGGAACAGAGACAACAACAAGATACTAGTGGAGCAGGAGCTGGAATGAAGGTCAGGATCAGTAGCCAACAAATATACAGTGCCAGCCAAATTCAGTATGGAAATGTATGGCAGGGTGAAGGGATCAGGGATATTTCTTGGGCAACACATTGTCTTCATCTAATCATTCAGTGATTCAACTTGGTGCTGAAGTGTCAGTAGCAAGTTGTGAATATCCAACTGTGGTCATCTTTCCCTAAAAGATTGTGTGATTTATGTACAGCATTGTAGCCAGGTTACATGTGGACAGCAAAATGGATGGCAAGAATCTGCTTGCTGGTAAGAACAAGAGAGACAACATGCATTGTGAGTTTGAGAACTGTGGCAGTTGGCAAGATATGATTGCAAAATTTGGTAACGAGAACAGTCATAGAAATATGGTTGATGACAATCCCAACCACCACCAGAGACTTCTTGCATCCTATATCTGTAACTGAAGTAGTAGACTACTGGTGTCATTTTTGCAAAAATGAGTGATATCTTGGTATGAGACATGAGGAATCAGCAGTGACAAGAGCTTTACTGTTTTGGCTGGTGATTAATTGCAAATAAAGCTGAAGATCAGCTGCTGGGCATCATGAAGGCAAAGAAACTGGCATGATGAGTTTTGGTGTCTGGCACCAAGCACAATTTTCTCTTGCATACTATTTATCAGCCTCTACATTATGCTGTGCTTGTGGAGGGAGTTTGTCAAACTCAGTGTTGCTGTCCTTTGACCCAAGAAAAAGACTCTGAAATATATTATGGAGATTTTGCACTATGATTAATTTGTTCAATTAGGTCAAATTCAGAACCATGGTATCATTTGCATTCTTCTGTATCTTTGTATCAGGAATGGATTCTGCTGATGACTGCCTTGCTCTCACTACTAACAAATTTGACCTATGGTGGGGGATGTTGCACTTGAAGAGGTCCTGATGTCTGAAGATCAAGCAGAACTGAGGAGAATTTTTTCTTATTCTGGTAGATCTATGACAATGCAAGTCTTGTCTTTCATCCATTTTTGAAATACAATGAAGGACTTGATTGACAACCTTTGCACTCACTTAGTAGATTTGCTCTGTAGAAACTACCTGAGACAGCCTGCCAATTAATATTGGGGTTGGCACCATTTGGCAACACGATGTGGGAAAAAGTGAACTCTGCAAATGCTTGTTCACTCAGTAGCTAACAGTTCCTGTCTTGTATAAATTCCATTGGTGAACTATTGAAATCAAATTCAAAAAACTATTTTACAGTATATCTTTTCCACTTGAGGGTGTTGCTTTTCTTGTCAACTGAGTTGCAAAAGAGCCGCATTGTGGTAGACTTTGTGAACGTCTTCGTTTTCGTCGAGCTGTTCCAGAAACGTATCGAGGCTGTCCCGTGCCGGAGACTCCGAGTGGACACCCGCAACCTCTCCATAATCCTGGTCCTTGAGGACGTATCTGTGCTCGAATCGCAATAGATTCCACCTGGCTGTAGAATCCCCGTTGTCGTCTTCAATTGTATCTTTTGTTGCTTCCCCCCTCAGCGCCCGAACGACCTTCCACAGTTCCTTTTCTTCCGTGGTCACTACAAACCTAGCTGTAGCTTCAGTTGCAGCGGTTGGCCCGTCAATTTCTGTGTCGTCTTCTTCCCCATCGTCGGTTGATGGCTCGATATTGATAGCACCTGCCTCGAGGGCGCATTCCATAAGTTCTTCTTCCAAGATCAGCATTGCCTCCTCAACGTCACTATTGGTGTCGACGATTTTGTTGACTGCGATTTCCACAAGAATATGACCCACGTGATCGAAGAGGTAATTGAGATGATCCGTCGGAAGAAACTCTCCTCCAAATTTAGTAACCAGGTGTCGCACGTGTTGGGTGGTCCGATTCCGATTGTCCGATAGTGCCGTTATGATGCAAGCCACCTGGACGGAGGGCACCGACGAATCGGACGAGTCGCCAGGGTCTCGGTTTCCTTCCAATTTCATCATGGCATCGAACCGGAGGGGGAAAAAGTCGTCCTCTCCCCCGCTTTTTGGTTTTGTTCCCTTTTCGATGGCTTCGTCAATGCGATCCCTGGGCAGCTGGACGGATTTTGCGTGCTGGATGGCCGCCTGTAGGCGCATGTCGGATCGGTCGCCTTGGCATTCTTTGGAGGCAACCGTCAGGCTCTTCGATGCCTTGCCGAGGATCAGGGCCTTTTTCACGTCGTTGGCACCCTTCTTGTGACGGATCTTGCTCCATTTATTGTGCCCAGCCATCATGGTTCTGTGTTGCATCGACACATGACCCGTCGCCATTGGCGATGACGACGCATTGTTTGCGAACGGGCAAAGCAATGGGGGTCGTTTTGCGGATATCGTCGGTAAGGATCTCCGAAGAGATGCCTTTCTCGAAATGGATGGCAATGTTCGAACAAGGGGCAACATTCAAGATATCACCGGTTTTTGTCACTGTTCTTGGAAGTGACTTCGCGCCAGGGATCTATTGTTGTTGACGGTCCGTGTTCAAACGACATTCCGGTTACAGTGGGTCAAGTGTGGTTCCGGCACGAGTACGATGCTTTTGGTATGTATCGGCATGAATCACTTTCGACCATCCCGGGCGGATGTGGAAGCACTAAATGAGCCTATCAGTATTTCACACTAAAAAGTCTTTTGAACTCGGTACGAGTACGTACGTACGACCTACGACTACGACCTACTGTACTCTTAATCTATTTGTAGTAGGACTTGATGGTACTCGTACTACTTCTGATGATTGAGGCGTACGAGTACTACTCGTACGTACTATCTGTAATCTGTAAGGCAGCATTGGGTATGATTTGAGTATTCGGGACTAGCTATTACTAGTAGTAAGTGTTTTCAAAAATGCCGCGTTTTCAATATGCACTTCCTGGTACATAGGATTCGATTTTGGCTGTTCTCTCTTTGTGATTTGTGAAACTATTGAGTTGCTCCAGACCTCATTTCAAGAACCAAAAAACCCAGCGCAAAAAGTGCTTCTTGTTATTGAATATCTCAATTATGAAAGCGAAATGGATTTCTGTGGGTTTCTGCTGACCAACCAATGATTGGAAAGCAGAATAATGTAAAGGAGTTGTGTTCCGATGTTTTGAGGGTCAGCACTGCATTGGCACAAAGGAAGTCTTCCCAAGGTGTGCAGGAATAGTAATCAAGGTGGTTGATAAAAAATATTGTCATATGCGTCTCAATTCGAACTATATTGAAGAGTAAAGAATCGTTTCAACGAACGGCACGCTTTATTGAAATTTGAAGGAATGTTACCGGCCCTTTTTGGTTCGATCCTTGAACAAAAACTGGATTTCGGCGGGAACGCCAGTGTCATCTGTTTGCTGCTCCGCGATCTCTAGTTCCTCGCCCAGCGGAGTTTCTTCCACCAACGAAAACTTTTTGTTTTTGTTGACCGAAGCGAAAAGCGTTTCTCGTTCGCTTGCCGTTTTCATACGGGATGCGGTGTCGTTGTCTCTCGAAAAGACAAAGAGCGATCCGTCTCCACCCCGCACGATCCTCATTTGCTGGTCCAGGTAGGTCTGGTCGTTTGCCGGGAGCGCCGATTGTTTGGCCGTTGCACGCGAAGGCTCGTCGCTGCTCGCGGTCTTCTTCTTGTTCGGAACCAGGGTCCTGCGGATCGGTTCTTCCAGCGCCTTGCCCAAGAGTTCGTCTACCTGGAAAATGATCAGCTCGAACTCGATGTCCACCCGATTGTTCTTGTTGTTTTCCACCCCGACGGCGTTGAGAGAACCAATCGCGCTTGGCCGGACCCTGCCGACGACGATCGTCTCGAGGGACGCCAGCCGATACGGGTGCTCCAGCCGGGCGGTGTTTTCAAAGAATCCGAGCCTCGTGTCGAGTGGCTGGTAGGTCGGACCGAGCCGGAAGCCCAGGGGAAGCCCCCTGGCAAGACCAACAATCTCCGGAGCGTTCGAGTACAAGAGGCGCCAGGAACCCGACAGCTTGCTGGATTCGGCATTGTTGGTAGTGGTGGTGGAAAATCCCCGTGGGTCACCGCCACTGCCGATGTTTTGCTCTTCGAGAAGCGATGCATATTCTTCGATCAGCAAGGAACGTTCTGGAGGGATTGTTGCGTTGGTAGCGGGGGCACCGAACGGCATGGTCGGAATCATTGAAGCGAGTCCCGAAGAGGAGGGCAACGGAAGGGTTGATTCGCCAATGCCGGTATTCTTGTTCGCGGTTGTTGTTGATGTTGTAGAGGCGACATTTCTTGTGTCATGGGGAAACGGAAGAATTGCCCACCCGATCGCCATTCTGGTTGCAGCCGTGCTTGTCTCTGTCATAAACTCTCTCCGCGAACGAAACGAAGGAAAAAGATCCAGGCTGTTTGCGGTGAATCCAGCAAGAACCAGCAGGAAATGAAAGCGAATACCCATAGCACTTTAACCCAAAATAAACGTATTTCGCATCAGAATAGAATAATGTGTTCACTCAGCTTGGTTTTAGTCTTCATGGATTGTTTGGAGGTAGCCAGAGATTGAAAAAAGAAAATCTATGTACCGGTTGGTACAGTTCGTACCAAATTGACGAGTTCGTCCGTACGGTACGATACCGTGCGATTTTGAACCCGCCCAATTTTCGTACCGAACCATACGTACAACGTACGTCCTCCCTTTTTATGGATTCCGGGAACGACCCTGTATCGGTACCGGCCTGTACGTACGAGCACCAAAGGTATCTTTTTGAGACATCACTCGACAGTCAGATCTCTTAGAGAACAATGAATCCCGAATAACTAGTGAATTACAAGTAGCCGTACTTCGTACGGTAAATCGTACAATGGGTGATTCCCGCAAACATAGATCTGTGTAAAAATGAGACCGGCCGGCTCGAAAAAATATGTAAATTACATATTTTTTATTTGGAATCCTTGACTTAACCAATTCCAGTCTCGGGAGCAGGCGCGCCCTAAACAGGCGCCAAACTTTCGATTCAAGTGTCAAGAAAAAAGCACATGATCTTTTCGACGGCAAAGAGAAGGAATTGAGGACAAAGAGAGAAGGAACAACAACAAAGAGAAGGAACAAGGAACAAAGAGAAACAATGCTGATGGTGATGGCTGGCGCATGGAGCCCCATACA